AATTTCTGACACTGCCAGTCAAGTGGAAGACCCAATACTATTATGGACTACTGGACTCTTTTAGAATATTTTGTTAAGTTTACACACCTATCATATTCAAATTACGGAACTTAACAAAAAAAGGGGATACAGATGAATATCCATTTTGTATCTGTGTATTCAAAGTGGTTAGGATAGATATATAGTTACATTTTCTTAATGAATAGAGGGATTTGTTCTAATGGTTTTGTAAATAGGATATCAAGACCACATCTGGTGCAACAATTAAACACTAGGAAGAATGTATGCAATGTGTTAATTATTGAAACTGTCCTACCAATTTGGTTTAAAACTGTCTCCTTGCTATTTGTTTCTCAATAAAATTATGGAAAAAATAAAATAAAATAAATAATAATAGCATTGGAAATAAAGAAACAACTGCAGAAACATATGAAAGAAATCAGATCAGAAATAATTTCTGAAGTAAAAAAGAAATGATAACTATAATCAAAAAAGTAGTAAGTGCTTCTAAAAAAGACACTGTTAAAAAAAGTAGAGCAGAATATACAAATGACGGAATCCTTGAATAAGCAATATTGGAAAGAAATAGAATGCATGAAGCAGATTCAAAGTGATATACAGGAAATTAAAACCTCAATCACAAGCTGGCAAAATCATTTGAATGAAAGTAAAATAGACTTTCAGACCTCAAAGACAGCATTTCAGCTAGTGAAAAAGTAAGAAAAAAATCTCTTAAAAACAACTAGGAGACAGGAAAAAATAATTCAATAACTGCAAGACGATGCAAAGATGAACAATGTGAGACTAATAGGCATCAATGAGAAGGAAGGATTCAATACAAATGATATAAAAAGAATATGGGCAGAAGTAATAGCAGAAAACTTCCCAAATATGGGGCAACTATCTGAAATTCAGGTAACTGAAGCATATAGAACTCCACATAATATCAACCCAATTAAAACCACACCCAGATATATAATAATCAAGATCCCAGAAAATCAGCACAGAGACAGTATACTAAAAGCTGCTAAAGAAAAGAGACAGGTCAAATTTAGAGGAAAACCCATCAGAATAATGGCAGATTTCTCTTCACAAACCATCAAGTCGAGAAGAGCATGGAGCAAAGTAATACAAGTCTTGCAAGAAAACAAATTCCAACCAAGACTGATATACCCTGCAAAACTCTCCTTCAAATATAATGGAGAATTGAAATATTTCCCTGACAAAGAACAACTTAAGAATTTCATGATGACAAAGCCAAGCCTACACAGACTACTAAATGATGTTCTAGAGAGGGAGAAAAATGATCACAACTCCATGAATGAGAATGGAAATAACCCACCAAATAGGGCAAACAATTGAACACAGGAGAATAAGATGTATACAAAAGTAGTCTTTCATTTATTCTTTTGTGTACAGCAGCAAAATATTTCCACCAGCAAACTCTACCAATAGACTTCTTCTGCACCCTATGGATCATGATTCCACCTGGGTCTACAGGGTAGATTTCAAAGAAATAGCAGTAGCTCAGTCCAACAAGTGACACTTGGCCACCAGTAAGTGTCATGGACATTATCCATGTCCACAACACACCAGAACTTTGTGTGATATCCTAGCCCCAAATTAGAAGTGCTGGTCATTTATTTGCCATTCAAGTATTTATCTTATGTTTTATTCTTAGTACTTCTTTACTATCATGATAACTTTTTCTTAGTTCAATTGTTTTGAAACAC